TTATGCTTATTACCAACCAAATATAATATTTTTCAAGTGTGGAACGTCACAAATCGAACTGCTACACTTCTGTGCTGAGTTCCATGTTAAAACTCAGTCAGTCAGCTTTGTCACTACAAATGCGTAGTGTCACAACTACCTAGTGTTAATTAGCTTAAACAATTATTCATGCCGTTTCCTAAGTACTCTATGCATTTCCCGATTCCTTAAACTGTCCAGATAAAGTGCACCGAAGAGGAAAACATAAACCAAAAGTCAGTAACATGGACGTAAGAAATGGTGTGAATAGAAGTGAATGAGACGAGTGACCTTTTATCCCTGTAGTACGCTTAAGTAAAATACTCATGTATATGAATGAGGCAAAAAGTTGTGTGACTGACTTGATATGATGATGAGCAATAGTTTGTGCTCAAAACGCCACCAAGTAATATTGCTCTCCAACACTGTGTGATTTACCAAAATAAAATCGTATCCATAATGGAGTTATACTCTACCACAGTGCCCAAGTTTTATGCTTATATCAAAAATACTTATCTTGTGCGTTATGTGTCTCCTAATTGTTTCATTTTTGTCTTCCTCATTGCAGGTTGTCAGTCTCCGTAGACATTCTACCAGATGTCGTCATGCATAGTGTCTGCAAGCAGTCTTTCAATACATCTACCTCCCGCAAAGTTATTGTTACGATGCCTTTAAATCATTTACATTTGGCCGTAATACAATTAGTGTGCTAATATTACTGATGCAATGACATGCAAGACTTGTACATGTTACTGTGAAGCTAGTTTGTAATAACATTCCCTCCATAGTAAATAGAATGCTTGTGATAACAATTCGTCATTATCTTTTCATTGTGTTGATAGTTGCGTATATATTAGAAAAAAGCTAACCTTGTCGTATCAGTTCTCTAAATTACAATCACTAAGTGCCCATACCTCTGCTGAATACCAAGTGCTACTCGTGGCCCATGAAATACTTATTACTGCATTCGTAAATAGCTATCAAACTGTTATTACATGGAGTATTGAGACAGAAGGCGTATGAAATTTAGATATTAGTGTGTATCTGAAGTAAACGACACAATATATATGTGCATGTTTCATTTCAAAACTAGAGAATTTTATAGGGTAATGTAGGAGTGAGCGCAATGAGTTAATAATGTATTCTTTACTGCATCCATCTTGTATGAGTGGAATGCTTCTATTCAATTTTCGGCGAAGCTTCAATATCACCCTACAGGGTTTCTTCAATGCACTCTCATAAGGAATAATACTTGGCACTGAGGAATCCAGCCAAAAGCATTTGTGACACAGTCGAATGACTTTTTCAACTAAAAGCGGTAATACTGATATTAGGTGTGATTTATCTGTAAACTGAGGGACTCTGGTGTAACACAGCACCATATCCCAGCAGGGTATTGTTTGTGTTTTACAGGTACAAGTAGAATTCATGGACTGAGCATTTGTTAAATATGGAGGCGACCCATTGAGTCACTTACACGAAAGGCTGATGAAATGCGATACCTTACACACGCACTTTCAGATGTAGGCATGTGTTACTCCACATGAACTCTGGGCCATATCGAGTAGGCATTCCTTTAAATCTACTCTACCCTGTGCGCTTAATTATTGTTCGTATATGTGATGACTTGGTGCGTTTCCTAGTTTGCCTATAATTACGGAATGTACATTATATTAACGAACACAAATAAATTTTGTGAAAACCAGTGGTGTTCCTTCTCTAGTCTCAATTGATGTCACATTGATTGACACGATTAAAGGAATAGATTGTAACGTGGTGTTTTCTGTAGCTGCGAAACGTAGATACCTAGTTTCGAATTGACATCATCCGTCTGATCCTATTAACCTATGGGTATGGTTCATCCTTCATGATAAAACTAGAACTCAGAAGTAGACTGTCTTTGACAGATCTAGTTTTACGATGTGACTAATTGGTGAGTCACCTGGTGTTGTGGTAGCAAAAAAATAACTCCAAACCTTAGTATTTTCTAGATATGAACAGATTTACTTACTTTGGCGACAATTTAATCTTAGGGATATTAACCTTTACTTAGTAATTTGGATCCGAAAGTAAACGCCATGTTACTAAGTTATTCAAAAGACAGAATGATGAGTGAAACAGTACTCGGATACTTATTCTAACGAAATCGAATAATGATTATCGTTTAGCCTACCAATATGCCGCTTACTTTCAGTCTTAATTCAAAGACAAATTTAATTGCCCAATAAATTAATAGTTTCAGAAGACTGCTCTACTCCTGTCTTTGAAATACTTTACCCGATCGTGTTTTACTTCAAAATAAGTGTATACTGGCCAGCTGATGTTGCTTATCCAGTTACACTGTTTTTCAGTTACAATGTCCCATCTATTTCCTATCAAACACAACATCCCTTAAACCATCAACGAGTAAACATCATTTCTAAAAAAATAACCTTAACTATTCGCATGTAAACGATGCTATAAACTTTATCACTTACGTGATGTTTCAAATTCCGATTAATCAGTTTTCCCTTACATGAGCACCTGTTTCAATTTTAACGGATAGTTCTAACCTTTGACTACTGAATTAGTACGTTTCATTATGTACCATCCATACGAAATATAGGTACTGATAATAATTACTGCTAACAGATTTATCACGAGAATGTACTCCATATTGACGACAATATTCCTCAGGGGCGGACGTATTTTCTAAACGCGCTACTCAATACAACACATGACCCTAACCCCATAACTCTGTAGCTCACAACATTCTATGAAGTTAGTAGTGACTATTAACAAGTAGAATGTCTATTTGAGGTATAGAGAATACATTTATTAGTGATTCGACACAAAATACAAAATCAACGGTACTGGAAACCACTTCCTTCAGCAATGAATCCCACGAGGTCACTGGAACTACAGATTATCTAAAAAAGAAAACAAGGGTTCACAGGGTGCATACATGAATATAACTACCAATATAATATTAACGAGACAGCACAGTAAAAATTAATGAAAGTTTATATCAATGTGCGATTACATCAGTCACTATTTTTGACACAAGTGGATATTTAGACGAAGTAATGAGAAGACGTAATTTGTCCGAGTCGTGTAGTGTTGTATTTGTGCAACACATTTTAGACAATCTGGTCACGCATGGACTTGTTATAGGAATACATATGAAATTAATACAGTTAAAAGTTTGGAAAATAAATTTAGGTGGAATTAAAACCACATATTGAAGGTCAAAATAACAATGAAGATTACTAAACCAAATATCTGAGGGACTAGTACATCTACCCTGACTAGTTTCAAAACAAAGTTTAACAAAGGTTTCGTGTGATGACGAATAGTCTTGGAATTCACAAAAGTGGTTTAAACTTCCTAATCACACTTCGGTTCCCACAAACTTTAGAATGCAATCCAAACACGTTTTACAGATAGGTTTAAAGAATGTGCAAACGCCAGTTTTATGACCTGTCCCTATAATATGTTTCGAAATAGAGGAGCTGGGACCCCATTAATAACTTCTGAAGATTCTGTTGCTTCTGGAGGCATTTAGGAATATGATGCGTAGCCCTTACTTGCAAAAATCGATGAGCCTTCCCTAAATGGATATAGCAACCACTTCTAAACCTTACGTCCATAGCTTTAAGAGATGTCGGACACTACTTCTACGTGGTTTTAAAATAATTTGGTGAATTAACTTCGAACAAGCGCGAATGTGGCGTCAGGACAATGACAAAAATCGGAAGTTTATGAAACCAAACTCACTAGTAGGAAAAAGTGACGCACACGTCAGATGTCTTTACGTACCTGATCACGAGGATGGTATTGAAATCCACCAAATTACTAAAATGTTGCAGTGTGCATTTAACTCACTTAAAAACTTCGGCAGAAAACAGTGAATGTTATAAGTGATCGTAAAACATATTGCAATTTCTGCCCATTTGTGAACACTAATTTTCGCTTGTATCTATGCATTCTATTGACTTTCCTCTATCAAAACAACACACAGAAGTGCGGGAGGATGCAGGAATTCGATATCAACCATATTCTTTGGTTCCTGCAGCAGTAATAGGTACTGCACAATAGCTGATAGGGAAATTTGAGATCGAGTACAAGTTTCCGCCAATCTGCAAAGAAATTTATCGAATGACAGTCGTTGAAATGTACGCGAAGCTTACTCGGTATGCCAAAAATCACTGCATGAACCATGTATTTAAGCGTCCTGTCACACAAGCAATCAGCAAATGCTCAAGAACAATATCGAACAATAATTTTCATATAAATTCATCCAACAAGAGCAAAATAAGCAGCGAAATAGCGTCTACTACGTTTGCTGGACGACTAGGGGTGAGTATATACGTTGTCTCGTGTTATATTTTCCGCGACTAATTTTTTTTCGTCTTTCATTGGCTAGAATGGTGGCGGTCAATTGGAGTTTGAATTGTCCTTGGGTGCGTGCTGTCGGGTGCTGTATTTGCGTGGTTGTGTTTGCGTCGTTTGCCAGCATATGTGATTACTGTAAACGTGTATGAAACTATTGTAACGCTTTGTTTTTTTTTGTTTGTGCATGTACTAGGCATTATTTGTCGTACAATTCGTTGTTTGGTCTATTGGTTGCTTGCGATGTCAACGAACCGGTGGGTTCTTGTGTTTTTCTGTAATTTAGGTTATACGTGCGGCATTTTCTTGATGGTTATCGATCATCCCTGTATTTCAATGTTGTTTTTTTACGATTTATGTTGGAATAGTTGTGACATAGATGGATCCTAATTGATAACTTTATTTTAGTCCGTTGCAGGTAGTCAATTCGAGTGACAGGAGCACAGATTTAAGTGGAATTTTTGCTGAATACATACTTGGAAAGCGTTTCTTCAGCTGGGATGAATTTGAGAAGTCATTAGCAGAATTTCAAAAAGTGAGGAAGTCATATAATGCTAACAGTGTAGTTATCCTACACTCACTATGTTCATAATTGCAGCAAAACGATGCCGGATGCCAGGTTTAAGTACGCTTATGTTGGTTTTAAATGCACTTTTGGAGTGAATCGTACAAGACCTGGATTGAAATTGAAAAACAAGTCGTAAGAAGAAGTGTAATATGATTTCATGAATATTGCAGGTCTAAATGTTGCAATTGCTCGTCTTCATTTCGCGTGGTTTTGCATTATAGTGAATACATAATTGCTTCCCACAATATGGTGCATAACCATCCATGCAGCAGGGTGTACATGCAGAATGACCCATGGTATAGACGACTAACAGTTGAAGAGAAAGAAAATATTGAACCACTTCTTCAGCAATCCCACTCATCCGATGAAATAATAATGCATGTTAAGGAGAAGTACAACAAGGATATAACTCGCATTGACGTTAAAAATATGAAAGCCGCAGTGAATAAAGGTAACGTTGACGTACTTGTTACATACTTAAGGTATTTCGAGTCGTCGTGACATTTTTGAATTCCTAAAATCCCGTGGGAAGTTAATGGAGTATTATTCCGATGAACCGATCAGGAATTCACTAACAAGAATTTGTTTTGCAACTTATGAGCAAATGGAATTGTATAAACAGTTCCCTGAAGTTGTTGGTATTGATTCGACGTATAATACAAATAAAGGGAAGTAAGTTTACCAATTCATTAATCAACGTGCAGGTATTCTTTGTTCCAGCTACTTGTGACGGATAATTTTGGTCGTGGACGACCAGTTTTATTTGCGTGGACTAGAAAAGAATTCAAACGAGATGTAGTTTGGATATTAGACTGTTTCCGGCAAATAATGGAAGACACCTCGAAAACAGAATCCTTCATTATGGATTGTGCGCAAGCTGAAATAGCAGCCGTCAAGTTAACGCACAGACAAGCGCACATTGTTTTGTGTTCTTTTCATGTTTGCCGAGCTTTCTGTCGGAAAGTAAGTTTTTCAAAGCATACTTTACATTTTATTCGTAGACAAGAAATCCCATTGTGAAGAACTACTTATGCCGTCTAGTGCAGTGTAAAAGGAGATCAGAGTAATGCCTCTATTGTTCTCATTTTGCAGATTTAATTTCTACTTCAGAGTTATTAGCAGATTGGACGCTAATGTCAGTCAATACCTACAACGTCGTTGGATGCATCGACGAGAATTGTGGGCGGCCTGTTTCAGAGATAACGTGCTGACTTTTGGGAACGATACAAATAATCGTGTCGAGAGTTCCCACAAGCAGATGAAACGGTTTTTGCAAAGATCTGATAGTCTGCATAAAAGTATGCTAAAGGTGTATAAATGGCATAAACGAAGTTTTTCAATAATACAGCAGGAGGCGAATATTGCTCAATCACGATGCTTCACGTATCCCTGTTCACAAAGTTTAATCCCAATTATACGGTTGCTTACACCATACGCCGCGAGGAAGGTAATACGTGAATACCAATTGCGACGATGGGCTACTGTTGAGTTCGAATCCGTTGATTATGTATTTTTCAAAGAAAATGGGAAAACAGTGCAGGTTGATCTGAGTGCTTGCACCTGCACGTGCTTTACATTTCAGACCTGTCGGTACCCCTGCCGACACTTGCTTTTGGTCCACTTAAGAAAGCCGTATTTCACAGGTATATTTGCGTTTTTATGACTACGTTTTTAATGTATAATGTAATGTAATAATCAGTTCATAGTTATCTTAACTTTTTTTGTTCCACCTTTTGTAGTTAACCATGTGATGCATAATTGTAAACAATGGACGTGGTCACGCAACTTGTTCGCATCTCAAAGTACGTCAGCAGTTATCCCTCGAAATCGAAGTAACATATACGATACCAAAAAGAAGATTATCAATGCGGGTATGGACAGAATTAATGACAAATTTGGAGAAGTGTTTGCCAATGCTTATGCAGACGGAGTAATCGCAGGAATCAATCGTGTTCTTAATATGTAAATAAACTAAATTTTTGTCATAATGAAAATAAAATTTTCATGTAAATTTTGTTGTCTTTCAATTCATGTGTTCACTTTGTGAGCACGGCATGCTAGACCGGTGCTCTCTAGGACTTTCACTACTAACAATACGTAAGTGTAATTGTGTAGGAACGATGTCGGTCAGCATACGTGTTAAATTATAAGTATTTCAGTTAGCTAACGTGCATAAGTATCATAGTCATATACAAGTCTTTAGGGACAATAGTAGGCATACCTTAGGCACTGCATTCGAGTCCCAGTTCTTATACGGTTACGTGTATTCGAAAGTATTGCATTACTAATGTTTCACTTAAAGCGTGATGTCAATCCATATGACTAAGGCTGTTGACATGTAGCGTAAATTCAACTCTACACCAGACGAATTATTGAATTCGTTGAGCTTTAACAATCGTATTTAGATTTAGCTTACACTAAAATATGCCACCAATTACTTCGTCAGTTCTTATTAATAAGTCATGTCTGCACCTAGTCATCATGACAAATACATCTAAACTCAGATATAATAAGAAAGGTCTGGTAAGCAGGATATTAAATGTATTTAATGAAAAAATAATAACAAGCAAATGTGTTTACGCAGTCGATTGTCGGAATAATTTGTGCAATGTCGAATCTCTGTGACTGGGGTGATTGACGTTACCAGATATCTACAAATAAGTAAACAAAGTGTTTTTTAAATAGCTGAAGTAAGGAAGAAGTAATATTAAAGGTAAACGATTTATATCTGCCTACCTTTGCTGAAAATGTTTTATTCTCCTTTCTCATTCTTTGGTAATGACATCATTATTCTGGGGTTTTCACTGCAACACACATTATTCCTCTTCTAAAGGATAGCAGCAAGCATATAGTAATAATTTCAAATTTCGTTTAAACCAATGTTTACAATGAATGCATGTCATTTCTACAGGCGCAATAAGTTATGTTATAAACTGCAATCGTGAAGTATCATGAATTATAAGAGTTAAATTGTAAACCCTTAATAATGAACACCGTACATTTGGCTAAGTGCTATGTCGTTGGAATGTGAGTATACATCTGCAATGTTTAATGCCAACCATATTGGTGTAAGGATAGAAAATATGATGTTTTCTATGAAAATACAGCTTTGTTCCAACACTGCTGTTGTTGTGTTTCTAATAAAAGCAAATAGACTGTAAGCATAAAGGCATATCCAGTTAACATAAAATGCAGTGTAATAGTGCACAAATGAAAAGACCATAGTGAAGTAGATAAGTGATACTTCAGTGAGAGGTAAATTGAAAGATCTGCAACCTTATAATATGGAAGACAACCTGACATGTAAGATGTCTCACAAATTTCAATAGGGCCTGTGGGGTACCATGGATGGTTTGGCGTCAATCGCAGCTTTGGAATAATGAGTTACAAATGCTAAAGGTAACAACCAACGAAACTGCAGTAGTATTTTCTAGCTGTTCAGCATTTTTTCCTTTAATGCAGTTTCTTATCAACAGTTTGCAGTATTCAGAACATCACAAGTTGCTTACAGATAACTTGTGTAATAATAACTGCGTTAAATATATGAGCCATAAGTGCATCTTCCACATCTTTCATAGCCACAATTAAGTCATTAAGGATCTCACAATATCTTAGTGATGTGAAGCAAAATAATTTTTAAGATTGATATAACCTATGTAACAGGTGTAGTAGTTGTACGACACAGCCGCCAGCTACTAATCGACATAAATCTGGTACTAATTTTAAGTACTCTGACATTTGAGAAGGACTATTTATACTATTCTTCCAGACACAATGAACACTGATGTCAATATACTCTGATGCCATTTCATGCACTGAGCAATTAAGGCCTTGTGAAATTCCATGTGCAAATGTCAATTAAACTATTTTCACATCTTCGCCCAAGCACTTTTAACTAGGAACTTCATCAAAATAGATATAATCACCAGGAAATTCAGCAGCCTGTCTCATTCATCGCATAATGTCGTCAATGTGTTATGGAATATTTCAGTCATCCCGGATGATAACAGAAAAGTTTAACATGTTCAAAGCACACATCTAACCTATGTCTGTATGCTATTTCTCTTTCATAGGCCAGATTCTAATAGATTCACTGGAATGACAACAGCCATTGACTGCAGTATATTTACAACCTTAAGATCTGAAACAACTCGCAAAAAACAAACCCTCAACGCACTATAATGCAAATAATAGTCTTTCTATGCGAACTTTCTTAAAAAGGATGACTTCTTCATTGATAATTCGTCCGAGCTATAATATACAATTTTACGCTCTACTAAGAACAAAATACAGCAAAATACTGCCATCCGGCTACATAAGTCTAAAACTAGTCAAATATAATCTATTTCCAAAAAAATAGGTGATTATAACGTCTGTTGACGTGAGCGCGGTAACCGATGGCATTGCGCGATAACACCTGGTGTCGGCCTATATCCTCACTCGACGACTAGCCACAACTCGAATCAACGAAACCGCGCAAGTGCCGTCAAGGTTAAGCCAAAGGCGCCAGTTCAAACAGGGGATATGCTTTATCAACGCCCAATTTCTAAAGAGACACATGAATACCAAGTACAATAAAGAGAAACTGACAACAGTAAAAAGAAACAGCTGTTCATGAAGCTGCAATTTAATGGGGACGTGGCTAGTGAAGTCTTACATCAGAGATTATCGAGAGCGATAAAACGGACTTGTACTGCCACCACCCTCTGTTTGTCATTTTCCAGCCGGCCAATTTTGATTGCTCAAGTGAAAGATAAGCTATCTAGCTGTGCCACCTACATGTGTATCTATAAATTTAGTTACTCCTGTGGAGAAAGCTATATAGGCCGAACAGCTAGACAGCTTAACAAACTCATTAATGAGCATCTTCCTTAATGGTTCGGAAAAGATCAAATAAAATCCACACGAAGTTTTATTTTGGCTCATTTGATTGATAGTGGTCACCAAGTGGACAAAAGTAGTGCCTTCAAAGTTATCTGTCGCATTCCATCGAACCACCTTTTCAACGGAATCAGAACGCGTCTTTTACACTTAGCCGAAGCTATGGGAATTAATCCGAAAGAACAATCCTAGTCTTTGTATAAAAAAGAAGTTTGTTCTACCTTTGTCTCTCCCTTGGCCTCCAATATCCAATATCCTGATTACGAGCTAGTATAAACCAGTGATTTCTTTGAGCTCGCTTCTTGATTGTGAGGTAGAGGTTCCAGATCTTCGGTGAGCTTCTGCGTAGTAAGTCCCGCCACTCGACTGCTTTAGCTCTGGTAGACTCCAGGAGGAGTGGTGCGGGGATTGGTCGAGATGTGGTTTGTAGTATGCAGTATGTTAGGACTGTATTGCTGCCGTGAATGGAGTTTGACCTAACTCCCGTTGGTCATTCGGTGTAGTCATAAAAGCAGAATAGTAATAATAATAGGTTGTAGTGTAGATAATATAGGTTGAGATAAGTGGAATAATAAAGGTGACCTAAGGAAAAGATAGAGTGAGAGAAGGCAGAATAGGTCGTGGGGATTTAGTTTGTACGCTTATTCATTGACAGTGTGGTTTCAAGTTTTATGAGGATAAGCCATTGAGACACAAACCTTGCATTTCTGCATGATTGTCTAGCTTCCGCTTAAAAATCTCCAGAGATGGCGCTGTAGTCACGGCCGCCGGTAAAGCGTTCCAGAGACGGCAAACACGAAGCGAAAAGAAATGTGATCGCACTCGAGTCTTTGGTCTCTGGTGTGCTATCCTTAGCGGGTTACCTCGTGGAAGCCTATAATCGCTTAATGGCAGGATGCTTTTATTTGGGTGGGCCTGGTCATTTAGGATCTTGTAGACGGTGATGAGGTCTCCCCTGTGCCTACGGTAACTAAGTGTGAAAAGACCTAATTTCTTTAGTCTTTCCTCATATGATTTGTTGCGGAGGCCGATCACCCATTTTGTCGCTCGTCTCTGGACACTTTCTAGAATGTTAGCATCCCTTTTGAGTAGCGGAGGTGCAATGATATTATGCACCTCAAGGTGTGGCCTCACATATGCCTTGTATAGCCTTAAGAACAGTTCGGGAGTGAGAGCTCCCAGCTGCCTGTGCATAAAGTGTAATGTTGCGTAGGCTTTGGCGACGTCCCTCGAGTAATTTCCACTGGTGTCTAGCTTTTCTGTTAGAATAAGACCTAGATCACGCTCTGATGGAACACAACTCAAGTTCTGGCCACCAAGGGTGTAATTTACACTCTGTGACCTGCCGGAATGAAGCTGCACTACTTTGCACTTCTTTAGATTGAAAGGCATTCCGTTAGCCAAAGCCCAATTTCCCAGAGTTTGCAGGTCAGCCTGCAATCTATCTGAGTCTTCCGATGAGTTTATTGCTCTCCAAATCTTTACGTCGTCAGCGTAAAGAAGCGCAGAGCAGTTTAGTTGGGGGGCAGGTCATTGATAAAAATCAAAAACATCAACGGCCCTAGGATAGAACCCTGAGGAACCCCTGATGCCGAGGTGTGCCAGGATGATCGGATGCGGTTGACTTTGGTGCAGAATTCTCTCTCGCCTAAGTAATCTTTCAGCCATGCGAGAAGTGC